CTCCGCACGGGGTCCCTCCGGCAGCTGTGCGCCGCCGGATCAACCCCCCCAAGCCCACGTAGCTGCGCGCGTCTCCGCCTCGGTGCGCCGTGGTGTTAGCTTCGCCAGACCCCAGACGCAGGGGTCGCCACCTGGCCGGGCTGGTGAAGCAGCGACAGAGGAATCCGCTCCGGCCAGGGGCGGGGCAGAGTGTGTGTTCCACCGACCGATCAGTCCCTGGAGCAGCCCGGAGAGGAACCGGAAAGGACGGCCAGCTGTCTTTTTTTCTTTTCTTTTCTTCTTCCCCCTTTTTACTGGCACCTTAGCACTGAACTGCGTCCCCAGCCTCCCACTCATTTAATTTTTTTTTTTTTTTTTTTTTTTTTTTTTTTTTAGACGGGGCCTCGATAAATTGCCCAGGCTGGGCTCAAATGCTCATCCTCCTGCTTCAACCTCCCAGAGCGCTGGTGTTACAGGGAAGGGCTACTTTGCCCATCTTCACCTGCATTTTAGACAAAATAGTGAACAGGAGGAGCAACCTGCAGATACAAACTAAAAATACTGTTATCCTGGATTTCTCTGGTAGGGTTTCTGTAATAAAATGCCACACCCTGGGTGGCTCACACAGAAATTCCTTTTCCCCAGTCCTGGAAGCTGGAAGTCCGATGTCAAGAGACCAGCAGGGTCTGCTTCCTGTCAGGCCTCTCTCTCCCAGGCTTCAGGAGGGCTGCCGCTTGCTGTTTCTTCACAAGGTTGTCCTGGGTCCATGGGCCCCTATGTCTCCTCTTCTTAGAAGGACGTCAGCCACTTGAATTTAATCACCCTTTTATAGGGCCTGTGTCTAAATACAATCACATTCTCCGGTGCTGGGTGTTAGAGCTTCACTAAAAAGATTTTGAGGGAACACAGTTTGGTCCATAACAGATCCTACGTTTGCCATCAGATCTGCAAAATTAAAAAGTCCGAGGATGCCAAGTATTGGTATGTGTGGCCCACATGAAAATTTGTGGTTGCTCTATGATGCGATGAACTCACCACTGAGAATTTGGTTGAGATTGAACACTGACAAAGCTCACCTATAAAGAGAGCATGAAGCCAGTCACACACCTGTAATCCTAGCACTCAGGAGGCTGAAGCAAGAAGGTCACAATGAGTTCAAGGCCAGCCTGGGCTACACAACAAGGACCTGTCTCAAAAAAAAAAGTAGGAAAAATCTGATTACTTAGTGATGAGGCTTCCTGGGGTGAGTAGAGCAGGTTTCCCCACTGGTAAGAAAACGGCCTGAGAAGCCAGGTATGGTGGTACACACCTGAAATTCCAGTACTATGGGAGGTTGAAGCAAGATGAACACAAATTCAAGCCCAGCCTGGGCAATTTAGTGAAATCCTGCCTCAAAATAGAAAATAAAAAAAGCCAGGTGTGGTGGCACATGCCCATAATCCTCGTACTGGGGAGGCTGAGGCAGGAGGATCACCCCAAGTTAGACCAGCGTGGACTACATAGCTCAAGGCCAGCCTGAACTATGTAATAAGACCTTGTCTCAAAAATAAGGAGAAGGAGAAGAATAAAAGGGGATGGAGTTGTACTGAACACTCTGGGTCGAAAACCCAGAACCACAAAGTAAAATAAAATAGAAGGACAATGGCCAAAGTGATAAAGAGCTTTTATTGTGATAAGGGGATGAGGCTGGGGTAAAGATTCCTCCAAAGTGGCCAGGGCTTTCCATATTTAAATTTCTCTCCAGAGAAAGAGAGCCAGAGTCAGAGCTTGTCCAGCTGGGGACAAAGGGACAAAGGGGAAGAGGATGCACAGAACTTCAAAGCTGTTAGCAATCAGACATCAAAAATGCAATCAGACTCTTTTTTGGGAGGAGGGGTGCTGAGGAGGATTGAACTCAGGTCCTTGGGCTTGCAAGGCAGGCCACCGGACCGCTGAGCTAAATCCCCAGCCCTCAGTCAGACTCTTTATCATCAGGAGCAAATGAAAACCTCCTCTTGGGAAATCAGTTTGATGATGTTTAATAAAGCTTAAGCATCTAGGCTCTGTGGTGGACAAAAGTGAGCACAAACCCTTTGTCCCTCCCCTCTCTGAGAGGTGGCATCAGATCCTTTCCACATCCCACAATGATCCAGTCAGCCAGCTCAGGTACCAGACACAGTGGGGAGAAGCCTTCCACCATTTACCTGCAGTTTCTGAAATCTTAGCAGCAAGAATCATCTAGGGGAGACACACACACACACACACACACACACACACACACACACACTCACAGAGACAAAGACAGAGACAGAGAGACACAAACTACCCTGTAGCTCAGTGGTGGAACACTTGCCTACCACACAGGAGGCCTGGATTCCATCCCGCAGCACAACAAACAAAGAAACAAATAAACAGCAAATGTGTTAAGCCTCTCAAGTTGTAGGTTGGTTACTGGCTGTGCCATCACGTCTGGTGCGTCCCCTCCTTATCTGGACATAATGCCAGCCTCTTTGTGGGTGGCCAGAACTCCGGTCTAGCAGAAAGGCTGGAGGCTAGGACTCCTGGTTTCAGAGAAGCCTGGGGATCGGATTCAAATGTCCGAAGAGTGCCTGGGGCTGGGAGCCAGGCCAGCTGGGATGAAAGATCTGCATGTGCCCACAGATAAAGGGCTTTGCCTCTCTGAGCTGGTTTCCTCATCTGTGAATGGTGTGACCTCATAGGGATGCCCAGGGGATCAAAACAATATAACGTGTGGGTGAGTCACTTCTGTGACCTTGGGAAAGCTCACCAGCCAGGAGTAAGTGTGATACTTCACCGGGGATTGAACTCGGGTCCTTGTGCTTGCAAGGCAGGCCCAGACCACTGAGCTAAATCCCCGGCCCTCTCATCTATCTTTATACTCCTAGAAGCTAGGAAATGTTATCATCCCCATTTTACAGATGAGGAAACAGGGCTGCAGAGATTAATTAGCTAAATAGCACAGGCACACATATCTGGGGCTCTTTTTTTTTTTGGCGGCGGGTTTGGGGGGATACCAGGGATTGAACTCAGGATCTTGCACTTGCGAAGCAGATGTGGTGCCACTGAGCTAAGTCCCTGGCCCAGGTGCACACATCTGTAAGGGGCTAAACTGGGATTGGACTGAAGCCACTTGATTCCAGCACCAATGAACCAAGCTCCTCTGCTGTATTGTTTTATAGGGTTTGTTCCTGGTTTGTAGGTCTATACCTCCTCCCACTCACTAGGAAGATTGTGAGGCTCTTGGGAGAAGGACCTTAGCCACATCATCTGCCAGGAGTGGTAAAGCCTGGGTGACTCTGGCACTTGGAGGGCACTCTAAATTTAAGTTTGCCAGCCGGGTGTGGTGGCGCACCCCTATAATCCCAGCACTCGGGAGGCTGAGGCAGGGGGATCGCTGTGAGTTCGAGACCAGCCTGGGCTACATAGTGAGTTCCATGTCAGTCTCAACTACACAGTGAGACCCTGTCTCAAAAAACAGACAAACAAAAAAACTTACCTTTGCCAAGGAGTCCAGTGGCAGGGGAAGCTGGAGCGCCTTCCGTCTTTCTGTGAAAAGTATTGCTAATAGTCCTCCACCTTCCCTTGCAAAGCATTGGTGCCCCCTACTTTCTGCTGGCAGGGAGCCTTGTCCTGGCCCCAGGACTCAAGAGTCCCAGCCCCTGAAGGAGTCCTTGCAGCTCTTTTCCCACAAGCCAGAATTCCAAGTTCCCATCCACTCCTGTTTTTCCAAGTCCCAGTACCCAAGCTGCCAGGTCCCACAGAGTCAGGAGCCCTGGCCCCAGCCAGAGGTATGCAAACCTAACTGATACTGATTGGCAAAAGCTAGTTATGGGGCCAGGAATGTAGGCACGGTAGAGCACTTGCTTAATACGTGTGAGGCCCTGGATTTGACAAAAACAAAACAAAACAAATAAACAAAAAACAAAGGAAAAGCAAGCCAGGTAGCCAGGCACAGTAGTGGACACCTGTCAACACAACTACTCTGAAAGCTGAAGCAGAAGGTTCACAAGTTTGAGGCTAGCTAGCCTGGGCAATTTACCAAGACCGTGTCTCAAAGTAAAATTTTAAAATAGGGCTGTGGATGTAACTCAGTGGTAGAGTGCTTGCCTAGCATATGCAAAGCCCTGGGTTTGAGCCCCAGCACAGAAAATACATAATTAAATAAAATAAACTTGACTATACTCTGGCAGTAGTTTGAAATCAGGAGGGAGTATTTTCACCACAGAAATTGGCACATAAAAGTCAGAGCTTTTCTGCTGGGTGTGGTGCTTGAGGGAGTATTTTCACCACAGAAATTGGCACATAAAAGTCAGAGCTTTTCTGCTGGGTGTGGTGGCTCACGCCTGTAATCCCAGCACTCGGGAGACTGAGGCAGGAGGAGTTTGAGACCAGCCTGGGCTACATAGTGAATTCCAGGTCAGTCTCAACTACATAGTGAGACCCTGTCTCAAGGAAAAAAAAAAAAAAATAGATCAGGGCTTTTCTTCTCTCCAGGAAGCCTCCTTTTATCTACTCAGCCACACACCACTCTCCCTGCCCTCAGTCCCTCATGTAGCTGCTCTCCAGACCAGGAGCCCCCATCTGTTTAAGGTCTGGGGGGTTCTGGAGTCTGAGGAGTCCTAGGGGGCCAGGGATTTAGCTCAGTGGTGCTGCTGTCTGCTTTGCAAGTGAAAGGTCCTGGGTTCAATCCTGATTACCAAAAAAAAAAAAAAAAAAAAAAAAAAAAATGCTCATGATGCACTTCAAGGCCTGAGTGGGCACCACTGAGTGCCTAAGCTACACTGGGGCTGGTCCCTAGTCTTCTGCCCTGGATCCTGGATCCTCACCTTCCATACAAAGGACTCCAGTCCCAGCTAGAGCATGGGGCCAGCTCTACACAAGGCAGCAACCCACTGAGAGCACCAGGTTTGGATGTGCACATACTTGACTGTGTCTACAGGCAAGTCACCTTAGCTGTCTGGGCTTCAGTGTAAATCTCTGCAGCATGACAGTCAGGAAAGACCACGACCCTAAGGTCATATTTCTGTGGTCCACAGGACCTCAAGCAAGACAGGTGACCTTGCAGAGCCTCAGCTTGCTCATGTGTGAAATACAGCATGTTACCCTGCTTCCTTGGAATGTCATGAAAGTAAACAAACTATGCCCATAAAAAAGCTGACTTAGCAGAGGGCATAACATGTTAGGTTGGTTGTTGTTTTCATTGTTAATCATTTCTTATCCCAAGGCAAGCATGGTCGTTCACACCTGTAATTCCAGCACTCAGGAGGCTGAGGCAGAAGGATTACCCTAAATTAGGGGCCAGCCTAGTCTACATTGTGAGTTCAAGGTCAGCTTGAACTACATCAAGACCCTGTCTCAAAAAGCCAAGAAAATAGGGCCAGGGATTTAGCTCAGTGGTTCTGCCTCCTACCTCTCAAGTGCAAGGTCCCAAGTTTGATCCCCAGTACCAAAAACAAACAAAAAACCCACAAAAAACAAAAATAAAACAAAATAAAAACATTTTTTAAAAGGGCCTGGGTAGTAAAATGAATCAGAAAGTTAACTACTGCATGGCTTCTCTTATATGAGAAACTCAAAGTATAAATAATTTAAAGAGTAAAATAAAAGACAGAGACACAACACAGAGAGGTGGGCCTTTTGGAGATGGGGAAGGGATCTATGAATAGAGGAAGGGAGGAAAAAGAAATAAAATGGACTAAAATGTGATATATACCCTGTATATATGTACCAATTCCCCACAATATAGGTATTCAATATGAATCACAAATGAACATAGCTCATTTGTGAAGGCCCTGGGTTCAACCCCTAAATACACACACACACACACACACACACACACACACACACACACACACACACGGCAATATCCAGGGAAAAGGAAGAGCTTACTTACATCGATCTCGCGTAGGATCACACACAGTAGGTGCTCAATTAATGCAGTCAATTTCAACAACAGCAGCAGCAGCAAGACGGATTAGTGCCTCTGAGAAGGTGGAGGCGACTTTCCTTTGACCCCGCCTGGCCTTTCGGGCCACCAGGAGGCGCCCAGGCCCCTCCCGCGGCACCGCCCCCTCACCTGTGCAGACCGAACACCTGGCGCCGCCTCCGGAAGAGGGGACTGGGGACGTGGGGACCTCGGAGGCAGCCGGCGGCGGCGGGTGAGAGGCTGGGGGTGCCGGGGGAAGAACCCTCCGGCTTCGGGCCGAAGTGTCTGCGGGGAGGCGTAGGGGTAGCCGGGACCGGGCCGGATGTCTGGCACCGCGGGGCAGCCGGGACACATACAGGAAGGAAGGTGGTGGCTGGGTTTCGGCCACCTGGATTCGGGAAGACCCCC